CGGAAAGGCACTCACTTATAGTCTTCTGGCTGAGTATTAAAGTATGTGGAGGAAGATGTAAAGACAAAGTTCCTGTACTTAATCGGTAAATTCTGATGCATTATGGAGAGAGAAGAGAGAAAGAGAGAGACAGAGAGAGAGAGAGAAACCTAAAGAAAAAATGAAAGAAGGTTAACTCAGAGGCTAGTAGAGGCTTCTATGTAAATGAAGAAATTTTAAAATACAACCTGGCTTGTGCAAAAAAATGATAGCTTCTTTGCTTTGACACTGAGAAGGTCAGAAAAATCTGTCTTACTGGGCCTGGAAGATTATATTCTAGAAAAATTGTGAATCTCTTCTCTGTAGTGAAAAAAATTATAATTTAGATTTATAATCTGATGATGTTTGCAGTTGGCACCTAACTGGCTGCTTATTTTTTAATAAGTTGACCACAAATGCTTGATTTTCTACTTTATTTTTTTCTAATACATTTCCTAAGCAATATAATTAGCAATTATCCATCTAGAAACTTGTTCTAAGGAAACATTTGGAGGTGCAGCCAATCAATACTATAAAACAGTTCATTGTAATCTCATTTACAGAAATGAAAAAACCTAGAAATAATTTAAGTGCCCCACAGTAGGTAATGGTTAAATAAATCATGGTGTGAAGCTTGTGTATAAGTTAAGGTTATCTCTGGAAAATTGTATTGTGACTACAAATTCACATACATAATCCTACAATATACTATAGAATTTTGATAGTTGAGAACAGAAACAGCAATGTTTCTTTTTAAAATTTTACTGATATTTAATTAATCTGAAAATGAGCTTATGAAGTTCCTTTTCTCTACTTTCAGGTGCATATTCTCAGCTCCTAAGAACCCCTTTCCTAAAGAAGAAGGAGTTCATTGAAGAGTTGATAAGTCTGCATGTACGCAAGAGTGGGTCTAGGTTTGTTGGAAAAGTGAACCTGGAAATAAGGAGAAAATAAATCTAACCTCTGAACTAACTCATGCCTTGGAATTAAATATATGCATATACTATAGGCACATAAATATTTTTACTTAACTATTGATATTTACTTATTTACTTTAAATGTGGAAATGTCCAGAGATAAATATTAAGCAAAATTCTCAAAGAATATTTATTTAAAGCTTCATTCTTTTAGGCTACTAGCATGTTCTTTCCAATGGTGACTACTACTAGACCATCCCACTGTCTAAATGGATTAAGTAACTTCTAAAGATCACTTAAGGATTGGAAGACCCCAATTCTTGATATTCATTTGATAATATATGGGAATCTTGACATAATTAATGAAGCAGAGGACAATACATTTAATGCATTGAAAATGCTGCATGAATTTCAAGCTATTAACACTTGGATTACTTATGCAGTAGCATATAAGGGGCTGTATATATTAACACCTGTTGCTGATAACCTGTGAAGCTAAATCTTGTTTGAGAGAATATTTTTGAATATTGAATAAAGCAACAAATAAACAAAATAAAATAAATAAACAAATAAAACAAAATAAAAATCTGGGGAATAAGACATTCATTTAAAAGAAATAAAATTAATAAATGTTCTGGACCCCAATTAATGTTATTGGAGTTTCTTTATTTCAATATTTAATGTTACCACTAATGATGTCCAAACTCTAATAAAGTAGCATGAATATAAATTATCTCCCAGTCACACATTTGTTTGATTAAATATTAAAACTCAATTGTAGTTATATTTTGCATTTAAAAGCAGAATAAAATTAAAACGAACAACATTATAAGAGAAGAACCAATAAATATTTTTTCCCTGAAAAATAACCAGGCCTGAATGAGAGGCATTGCAATGATGTTCAATTAGCAAATTTATTTGAACTCCAGACACAATGTTATTTTTATCTCTAATTATTTCCACGCCTCTAATCATTCTCTTTTTTTTTTTTTATTGAGTTTATTGGTACATTTAGGGATACAGTACAGTTACATTCATTGTTGGGATCATGTACCTTTACATAGCAAGTCTTGATTCTCATTTTTTTCCCCTTACCTCTGCCCTCCCTTCACCCCCTCCTCCCCTCCCCATCTACAAACACTTTATTTTCATCTTTTCATTCTCTCACATTTTTTTCTTTTCCCTTTTTGTTCTTCCCCTACGTATCACACCTTCCCTACATCTTTAGCTCCTTTCCTCCCATTTCTAAATGTCAGTAATCTTATTAGAATCTTATGCATTGTTGCAGAATATTCACACCAGGGAAACTATTCGGTATTTACACATGTATGACTTATTTATTTCACTTAGGAGTACATCTTCAATATGTATCCATTTTCCTATGAATGAATCTATTCTCTCGCTCTTTATGGCTGAGTAATATTCCATTTTATAGAAAAACCACAACTTCTTTATCCAGTTTCCAACGGATGGGCAAATAGGTTGTTTCCAAGATTTAGCTATTACAAACTGTGCCGCTATAAACATGGGTGCACATACTTCTCTGTGATATGATTCTTTCAGTTCTCTTGGAAAGATACCCAACAGAGGGATGGCTGGGTCAAATGGAACCTCCAGTCCAAGCTCTTTGAGGGATCTCCATATTGATTTCCATAGTGGTTGCACTAGTCTGCACTCCCACCAACAATGGAGGAGGGTTCCTTTCTCCCCGCAACCCCGCCAACATTTGTTATTGTGTGATTTCTTGATAGCAGCCATTCTTTGTGGGGGGAGGTGGAATCTTAGTGTTGTTTTCATCTACATCTCTCGAATGACCAGTGATGTGGAACATTTTTTCATATATTTTCTTGCTGCTTTCACTTCTTTGTATGAGAAATGTCTGTTCATTTCGGATGCCCATTTTTGGATCGGGTCTTTATATTTGGGGGGACTGATTGTTTTGAGTTCTTTATATATCCTTGATAATAGTCCTTTGTCTGAGGTACTGACAGCCAATTTGGACTTCAGAAATGTTAGCAATTCTCTTACTTCTTACCAGTTAAAAAAAAAGCTTCAATTAATGTTTCACTGAAGATTTGGGCTCCTCCTGAAGGAAGAAATCTTATCTAAAGAGTTATTGTCAAAAGACAGTTTCATTAGAGGATTAACCAAATCATTACCATAGGTAAAGAAAGCCTGGAAAAAGAGCTGGGGAGACCTAACATCATATTTTGGTTGACTAAGTGAATGACAGCTTTTGAAAAGCTACCATCCTTTGGCTACCTTTTCTACATAACTCATGGCTTTTCTTTCATGGTATTTTCCCTAATATCTTCATCATACTCTTCAAAACCATCTGATGAACTCATTACCTCTTGTACATTATTGAGAAGACACCACACTTGGAGAATAGATTGCCAGTGTTTCTGCCAAGGATTGGGTAGTAAATATAATCAGCCTGCCTTTGTGGGCTCCCGTCTCTGCTGCAACTTATTCTGTCAGCTTTGGTAAACAGAATAAATTATAAAAATATATACATCCAAGGTCATGATTGAGTTTCAATAAAACTTTCTTTGTGAACGTTGAGTTCGAATCCATATAATTTTCAGGTGTCATGAGATATCCTTTTGAGCAATAAAAAATGTAACAGCCACTCTTAACTCATGCCTTGTACTCAAGCAGTGGGGAAGATTTGGTCCAATGTAACAGCCACTCTTAACTCATGCCTTGTACTCAAGCAGTGGGGAAGATTTGGTCCACATGATTGTGGTTTGCAGACCCATGTTCTAGGGCATGCTTATCAGACTTACAGAACACTCTGGCATGAAGTAAGAAGAGTGAATATCTTAAATGGGAAAACCAAAATAAAAAAGCAAATTAAAAAATATCAGGATGAGAGGCTGGTATTTAGCTCAGTAGTTCTGCCACCTGCTCTGCCTAGCAAGCACAAGGACCCAAGTTCGATCCCCGGTACCAAAAAAATAGGATTAGATTATGCAGGGATAACGTAGTCCTAATACTATCCAACAGGATATTATTTCATTCTGTAAATAGCATATGAATTATAGATTATTTAAGTAAAAATCAATAACTTTAAATAGTGAAATCAACAATACTATTGATGAAAATTACAAAGTAGTGATAAGAGTATAGGCTCCAGAGCTAGGTTTGAATTCTAATTTTAAATTCCAACCAACTGATTTTAAATGAGTTGCTAAACGTCTTTGTGCCTCACTTTTCTTATAAAATAAAATGCTTTCTAGATCTGTTGTGAGGACTGAACAACATACATAGTACATATAAGGTGCTTTAAACTAAACGTTCTAGTAGTCAAAAAAGTTTTAGCTGCTACTTTGAATGACTATAACCTGATCCAACATATAGAGAAAGGAAACGCAGAGGTGTTTTTGTGAAATTCATTAGATGTGAAATTTTAGAGAAAAATATTGATATGTTAAAAAATGTTTTGAGATACTAATTATAAGAGGTAATATAGGCACATCTGCATACCCTTTATCCAATTTCCCCCAACAAGAACATTCTACATAACTATAATACAAAACCACAGTGAAGGGTCTGACATTAGTGCAATCCAGATTTCATCAGCTCCACATACACTCTTTGTGTGTGCATGAGTGCACACAAGTGTGTGTAAGTGCACACATATTGACATATATTTAGTTCTTTGCCAAGCCTATTCTCCAGTCAAAGTATCCAGATATAAAATTAGGTCATCATCTCAGAAATTTAAAGGATACCCCAAGGAGGCTGCGCATTCATGTAGATCACACACTTGAATATTACTATCACAATGTTCAAAGTGAGAACAAAGTTCTTCTACTTGAAACTAAGCAAGCACCTCTATGCAGTATGCTGCTCCTCTACCCCTCACTCTTGAGACTGTACTCTGAACTGAAGAACTAAGGTGCATAAGTAAGGAAATTTTCAAAAAACCTTCACAATTCACACCAATGGGGGGGGAGGGGAGATAGGGAGAGGGAGACGGGGGAGGCTTAGTTCTTTTGATTCAGATTTTGAAAGTGTATTTATCACCATTCCAAGGGGTCTTTCAGCCTGCACTCCTTTTCACTTCAAGCTGGGCGAGGTGATTTGATCTACAAGAGCTGAGAAAGCCCTGCAAACCCCCTCAGCTTCACCATACAGATCCATGTTCACTGAAGACTGGGAATCTGCTGTCAACAAATGGAAGACCACTTCAGAGAAGGGCACTTGTAGGTTGATCTGGACAAAGGTGTTGCACAAAGAACTCTTCTTTCCTCAGTTCCCAAGAACAATGCCTTTCCTCTAAACTAGTTGGTAAAATAAGGTGGCTAATACTTACCATGATCAATATTACTGTTACAGGTTAGATCTAAAATGTCTTCTAGAAGTCTCCAACATTTGGGAGGCGATTAGACCTCATGGGCACTGTACTTACTCATCAATTCATAGCTGTTTGTGCTGCTAGGAAGTCAGGCCTTGTGGAAAGAGGTAGGTTACTGGGCACAGAGAAGGGAGGGTGTATTCTTGTCCGTGGCTGCTCCCTTCTCTCTCTGCTTTCTGGTTGCTCTGGCATAAGCAGCTATCCTCAGCCAGGCTGTTCCACTCTCATTTCTGCCTCAAAGCTAGCTAATCATGAATTAAATAAACTCACTGGAAATTGTTTATGGATTCTTTCTTCTGCTTAATTCTAGTTTGTTGTTGAATTTTTCTATTGAAATCTTCCTTTCAATTATTGTGTTTTTGGCTCCAAGATTTCCGTTTGGTTCCATTAAAAGTTTTCTGTTTGTTGAAATTTTCACTTGTTTTTCAGGATTGTTCTCCTGACCTCACTGAGACTCTTCATGATAGTTATTTTAAATTCTCAGTCAGGTTATTCATATGCCTGATTTCCACAGGGGTCCATTTCTGAATCCCTCTTTTATTCCTTTGTTTGGGCCCTGTGTCCCTTCTTCATTTTTCTTTACTCTTTTTGCTGGTCTATACATACTAGAAAAAATAGCTGCCTCTCTTCATCTTCACACACTCTCCTAGTGTGTGCTCTATGTCTTGCCATGCAGAAGAAGAACTTCAGTCTGGTCAGATATTTTGAGAGCCTCTCAAGCTTCATGTTATCCCTACTGCCATCTTTGTTTTTTGTAGCCCTTAGGCAACTGGAGTATGATGCGTCCTATTAGTACTCTGAGCTGGTATGCACAAGCCAGTATTTTGGACAGAACTCTGAGGAGATGAGTTGGGGATACATAGTCCATCTATTTTCCTTCCTGGGAAGCTGGGATTTGGGGTTTATTCCTATGTAAGCTCCGCACGATCCTAGGGGAGGAGCTGTGGTGAGTGCTTTCATGCTGGTCCAGTCCGTCTTTGTTCTCATGCAGTGCTGTACTAATTTTGCCACCCTCCTCCCATCTTCCCTTCTCATCACTGAAACATACCTTGGCAAATGGATACCAAAAAGGAAAAGGAGAATGTTGCAGTGAGTGATTGCGGGTGGCCTGGAGGATGAAAAAGATTACTTGGAGAGGAGATTTAGTTCAATCCACTGAGAAGCCCACAGGGGCTATTTAAAAAGCCCTGACACTGAGAACGCTGTGGATTTTATTCAGAATATCAGTGTAAGGGAAAAAAGCAGGAGAAAAAGTAGTTTGGGCAAGCACTGTTTCTAGGCTAGGCAAATTTTCTTGGGAAAAGGGAAAAGACAATGGCCAAACACAACATGCTATTCTTACCCAAACTTCTTGTTTAACCATTGGATTCTAACAAGCCTATGTGCTTTTGCCCCATAGTTTAATCATTTACTCCTCACAGACCCTGTGTGCTTTTTCCCCATATTTAACCATTCACTCCGCATAGAGCCTATGTGCTTTTGTCCCACAATTTAATCATTCACTCGTGGCTAGGTCCCCCAGAGGAGAAAAGCTGAGGAAAATAATTTGGGAGACATACATAGGAAATTTCAGTATCAAATGGAAAGTGAACAATTTACCAAGACACGAAAACCACAGGAATTTTTCTTTTAACCCCAGGAGCAAAGAGTATTAAATACATTTTCAAATTTGATTTTTTTTACCGCAAGTTTTGATCACATTGTTTGATACTGATTTTCAGTCTAACATTTAGAATTGAAAGTTTTGGGGAACTTTTTATACATAACTTTGTCTTTTCCATTAAACTCTCATAGTCTCTTGAAATCCCATTATCTTAGATCTTGATTCTGAGTAATTCTATTCAATTGATGTCAAGAACTGCCCAAAAATGATAATCAGATTTGCTGTTTTAATACAGTTAAGCCTTTAAGTAACATAAAGGTCATCTTAATTTCCAAAATGTGGAGGCGTCTTAGCAAAGCACAATCCAAAAGGGCAGTCAACTCCTAGGATAATCACCATGCTGGGCTGATATGTTGACACTCTGTCTGAGTACATTTTAACATATTACAAAAAACAGATATTTCTAATTTTCCCAACAATCTTAAAATTAAAAAATATCTGAAACTGTAAAGTGATCAAAAACCGCTTATTATTATCTATTATTATTATCTTCCACAACAGAGACAGAAGTAAACAAAAATAATGGACCTTATTTTAACTTGTTTTCTTTCCATATCTTCATCTGTGTGGTTATAATACTTCTGTCTATTACTAAATCTGGTGTATTTTGGTAAGCATGTATAGACTGTGTATAAATTATGGAATATATTTTTCTAATCTATATTATCATTGGCTAAGTGTAGTTTGAAAATGGGATCATCAATACAAAAATGATAAAGGACCTAAATTTAATTAGAAATATTTGAATGACAAGTGATAGAGAATTCAAATAGCAGCTATGAAGATTAACTTAAATTCTTATTTCTTATGATTAAAAGCCTAGAATAAAGAGAGCTAACATAAAAAATACTGTAAAATTTAAATCTTATTACAAAATAAAGATTGCTATAATAACAAAAAGGGGAAATAAGTATCTTCTTGCTAATATCAGAAACATGTTTACATAATAATGCATACTAAAGCAACTCAGTGATTTAACTGAGATTACAAATGGAAACATGAATTTTTGAGGGATATGTTTTAAAACTGTACAACTAATACCACTAGCCTATTTATACTTTAATGTATATTATTCATTATACTTTTCGAAACTCACATCTGAATTTTTTTTTTTTTTTTTTGGTACTGGGGATTGTACTCGGGTCCTTGCAAGGCAGGCAGCGGAACCGCTGAGCTAAATCCCAGGCCCTCACATCATCTGAATTTAGAAATACACTTTCCTCTGTTATGATTTTCCTTTTAATGGAATAATGATGTATGTATAAGTGGATATAGATATATTCATATACACAAAACTTGATTAAGTCACTTAAAATACACCTGAATCTTTTACCTTTAGGTGTTAAACTGGACAAATGTGGTATTGTGTTCCAAATAGGAGTAATGGATTCAAATTTATTAGGAACTTGAAAAGTAAATTATTATGACTACATTGATACGGGATGGCCCAACACAGTTTGAGAAATTAGAAGCTTTCAAGTCATTTGCAAAAACAAAAAAATAAAAGCAAGATAAAGACATCAAAGACTAAGAAACTTTCCCATAATGCCCGCTTTTTATGTGAAATTTTCTTTAAAAAGTCAAGTGGATATTGACTTAGCTTTGAATACTCATCAAGGTCCCAAGGATGTTTAGATGGAAGTACAGTGGATGAAATCTTATGTTAGTTTAAGAATCAGGAACAAGGAGCTCTCATCCTCTGTGTCCAGCCATTTGAGTGTGCTTCTGACATCTTTGTGAACTTGTTTCTTCTGATAATTGAGATTATAACTCCAATTTCATTTACTGTAGAGATTTTTAGAATAACTAAATAAATGATTTCATTGATTTGGCTCTGCTAAGTTCTGCATAACTGACATTATTATGTGCCCAATTCATAGTTCGCCAGTTGTGATAGCCTGAATCATGTCCCCCTTCAACTTGTACACTGAAGTCTTAGCCTCTGAATGTGGCTGTATTTGGAGTGAATATTTTCAAAGAGACAACTAACTTAAAATGAATTTATTAGGATGGACTATTTCAATACGACTGGAAAGAAAAAGACATGGGGACAAAGATGTACACAGAAGGAAGACCTTATAAAGGCAAAGGTAGAATGTAGCTATCATCAGGTCCCCTTCCTCGACTTCCCCTTCCCTCCTATTCCTCTTCCTAGTGCTTTTTTTGGGGGGTTGAGTTTAGGTCTCTTAGTCTATGGTACTTTGTTATGGCAGCCCTGGAAAACTAAATGTAACAACTCAGGAATATTTTCAGGTCTCCTCTGAGAATGCAGATGCACAAGAGAATGTTATTCTTCACTGTATCGCAAATATCTAGATAACTCACAAGTCTCCAGCATTAGTAACCTTTAATTTTCTCCAAAGGATATAAATATATTCTAGCTAGAAATAAGGCAATGTCACTTCACAATATTAGAAACAACCATTGTAAAGAATTTTTAAAAAGCTCTTGCAAAATGGGGAATGAATTCTGAATGATAAGTTCAACAATAAGCTTCTAAACATGATGATGTTACTTATAATATAGAAACCTAAATCAATTCTCCTTTAGAAAGAGAGCAGCATCATTGACTCTACTTTTAAATGGTGACATTGGGCTGCCCAGTTCTATATGATTTAAGGTACCTGAAAATAATAATTTCAATTATAAGTAATTATATAATGATTAATATGTGCCACATACTAAACTAAAGACTTGCATGATTTATCATCTCTAATGCTCAAAGTAATTCTATATTTAAGTCAATATTGGTAATCAAGTTCAGAGATGCTACTGATATCCCAAAGATTCAGAACTCTCATCTACTATAAACTATAGCCATTGGGCCAATATTACAAAAGAGGTTTTTAAAAGGCAGCCCAAATTCCTGGCCATCACTTTCTGTCCTGACTGAAAACCTTACCTGATGGCATTTGTAGACTGAATGCATCCATGAGTTTTGACAATAGTTCTTGCAATTCCTTTTCTTCCAGCTCATCCTTTCTCTCTGTGATGTTACTATCTCTTTCCTTCCTGCAGATACCCAAGTAGTGCTGGTCATTTCAGAAGGAGAAATCTTGGGCTTGTCCTGCAGCAGTTCCTGCTGACCACTGGGCAGGAAGCTGAGGATTTTCTTTGGTATCTTTTGGGAGTAGCTTTGTACCCTCATAGCTTGCACCATGGTTACTGGTGATTCTAAATCGGGTGGAGCATGCTCTGCATTTACTTGTCTTCTATTAACAAGAGCAGGCTTTCCATCCTGGACCATTTTCAGTGACATTCTTGGTCTGAGAAGAATCTCCTTCCTTCCAAAACCTAGCAGCTGATCAATGATCAACCTTGGACGCCATAGGTTGACAGGAAGATGAAGGATGGAGTGACTGGCTGCAACATTGCCTGGTCAAAGAAAATCTTATTAATGAAAAATTAATGTTTACCTTTTTCACAAATGCATTAAATTTTAACATTCCAACAGGAGATGCTAATGTTTCCTTTTCCTCTAAATATAGTATTCATTTTATTTTATGCTGTTAACTCAATATAAATCTAAAACTCTCTAAAGGATTGGAACACTTGGGTTATAAAGTATCATAGGGTACAATTACAAGAAAATTGGAAAAAAAAATTAAGTTCGAAAAAGCCCAGGTTCTAAAAATGTTCTAAGGAATTTCTGAAAACATAAGTACATGTTGGATGACAGACAAAAATGATCACAATAAAATGTTCATAAAAATTGGTCTGGTAGGTGTACTGTTAGAGGTTTTATAATAAGCCAAAGGTATAAAATCTAGTATGTGGTCCATGTTAAGAACAGTTCTCAAAGTTTGATCCCCAGTCCTTGGAATTCCTGAGATCCCTTTAGGGACTGGTGAAATGAAATTATTTGCAAAATGATTCATTGTTATATTTGACAGTTCAGTGCACTGACATTTGCAGTGGTGGTATAAAACCAACAATAAGTGTGGCTATGGGTGCCTTAGCAAGGGATCAAAGCAGTGGCAGCTCGCCATCATTCATTACCAAGTCAGAAAAAGGCAGCTCCACGTAAAGATGTCTTTGATGGAATAGCAAAAGTTCTTAATTTTCTTGAGAATATGTCATGCCTTTTAAATATTATGTGTAACGAAAAGGGATGCATGCATAAAACACTTTGGATATGCACTGCAGTGCAAACATTGCCTCCTGTGCCAAAGGAAGACTGACGGATTATGATTATGCATATTTGCACATCTGGCAAATATTTTCTCAAAACTGAACAAATCAAGAATGTCACTGCAAGGAAAACAATGAACTACATTTTTCGTCAATTATAAACACTTAAGCTTTCAAGCAAAAATTCGAATTTTGGAAAACTTGCATCTACCACCAGGAGCTTGATAGCTTTCCAATTCTTGAACACTTTTCTGATGAAATCAGTGTGATATTAATGAACATGAATTTCCTTTGAATCAGTGTGATGAAATGAGGAAGCACTAGGAAGCACAGCATAGCTCAGTGAACCAGTATTTTCTAAATGTTTAATGTATGTTGTTTAATAAAAATCACGCATAGGTAAATCCATTTTATTAAAACATACTAGAAAATTGCATTTTAATGAAACAGAATGAAACAGATATGGGTTCATATTCTATATCACAACTGTCTTTTAAGGAATTATTTTTTATTATGCTTGTATGTAGTATCAAAGAGAAGTATCCCCAGTTATCTGAAAGGCTATGATAATGCACTTATTTTTTTTCAACTGCTAATCTAAATGGGCCCCTATTTCATACCTTAAACCAAAAAATCTTACAATAGATTGATTACTAAAGCAATCCGTAAATTCAGTGATTTTTTTATTAAGCCACATGTTAAAGAGATTTATAAAAAATGTAAAATAATGTCACCTAGAGTTTTAAAAATATACTTGTTTTAAAATATTACCTGTCTGATGAGTTTGTTTTTATTTTTCAATTAGTTAATAAATATAGGTTAAACACTTGGCAGTTTTAATTTTGAGTATGGTAAATAACAACAGATATAACCCACAGAAACAAAAGCTCCTTGGGGTCCCCCCACATTTTAAAAAACATAAAGAATCCCGAGATCAAGAGGTTTAAGAACCAGCACTGTACAAACTGCTTTGCCCCAGATCTGTTGCTTCTAAATGGTACCAATTCTGTTGTCTTGTTGCATACAATTTAAATTATCTGAATGTAGTCTTTATTCTTTAATCCATGCTGATAGTATTTTTGTGCAATTTGTGTAAAGAGACTTTTTTGGTGTGAAATGCAGTATTTCTCAATGTTAACGCCCTTGAATTTCTCAATTGCTATAATGCTGGGAGAAGTCTTGGAATATAGTTGGGGCTCCTATCCAAGGCAGGATCTCTGAAAGATAGTCTTCAAACTTCTGATCACTCAGGTGAAGCAGGAATCCAACCCTAACATATTTAATTGTAATTGCAGTGTTGATGGGTTTTACAGAAAAGAGTCAGCCCAAGGGTTTTATATAACCGACAATAAGTAAACATTCTCATGTGTCACTAGTGACAGTGCTCTCTGTACCTAAAATACTGTGTTTTGTTTTATTTTATACTGGGGATTGAACGTGGGTCCTTCTGCTTGTGAGACAGGTAGTGGAAACACTGAGCTAAATCCCCAGCCCAGCTTCCTTTGACCACTAACAATGACAGTCTCTCTCTTTCTCCCATGTTGTATATCACCCACATGCTTTGCTCTTTGGCCCATCCACCAGGCTTGAACAGCGAAGAAGACAGGTACCCACCCTTCTACACTCCAAAATAAAGTATGTAGAATCAGAAAATTTGATTCTTTCTTACTCTGATTAAAAAACCCACATTTTAAAACTTCAATAGTCCTTTTAGCCATTTAAACAAATACTATTAGAGTCCTCCAAGGAAGACTGTCAGGTACCAAGATGTTCAAATTCAACTCTATGAAGGAAGAACTTTGGTAGTTACCAATATATTCAAGTCATCATTAGCCAAATATAGCAGACACACGAAAAACAGGAGAGCAAGAAACTAAAGAGGTAAACAATATAAAACAAACCCTAGCAGCAGCTTTTTCCAAGTCGTTATAATTGTATAGTTCAACCCACTTTTGGGTTGTGCTACATTGCAGATGGCAAACCAAAAGTCCAAAACAGAGAACTTTTTATCTGTAAACTTTCTTACAAGTCTTTATCCTGGTAACTTCCTACCACTGAATAGTTAATGTGGCAGAATACAGTAATACAGTCTAGGAGCCCCTCAAATGAATCACATGGCTCAACTGGCCTTCAGACCTGAGGACTAATCTTTGGCTCCAGCACCTAGACCATTGGTATTATTTCAGGCTAATTCTATGTGGCTTAATCCTTTCTTTCTTTATAAGAACACTCTTTTCATTTGTAAAGGAGAGATTCTCATGGAGTGTTTCTAGTAAACACAACTCATTTGATACAAATATTTCCAGCACCTGGGAGACCAGGAAAATATTTACTATTAATAAATAGCTCAGGCTGGGCATGGTGGTGCACACCTGTAATCCCAGCACTCAGGAGGCTGAGGCAGGAGTATCACTGTGAGCGAGACCAAC